AATGAAAGATACAAGTTACAACTGACTCAACTGAGCTTACTATATTGAGTATTCTTGAGCATTGCTTTAGTCAGTGCCCCCACTGTGCCATCTTTCTTCATTTATTCTAGCTACACCACTGTTGACAAATAATAATGATTCTTTGTTTAGAGTGCAGGCAGTATGGAATGTTTTAGTGGACACAATTCCTGATCAATGATATACGTATGGAAAGGTGATTTGGTGGTGTGCAAAGCGCATCGCTAAATTAATGCATAGATTTGGATTGATTTTCCATTTAAATTATCAATTTTTCTAGGATGTCATTATGTAATGTTCACCCTGCCTATCATAGGCACATCTACTTTCAAGAGACAAGATGGCGATGAAGTTTATAAGCAAGTTTAGGAGATGTCACGGTTAGTTGTTATTGTAATAGAAGTCAATTCTACAAAACATAGGCCTCGTGTAATTCATTAGATGTGTTGGAGATCTGAAATACTCATTTTGAGGTTTTTTATCAATTACACTGGCACCAACACTGAGACAAACTGAGTAAGCCTTGAGTTTGCTAGCTCCTTGTAGGTGTTGTTAGCGGAGTATAGAAACCAAGAGTTTCAAAGAGTCGTTCTGAGTCAGAAATGTATGTATTACTATTATCTCTAGTCATAATTCCTCGTTATTACTATTATTATTTACTTAGATGGGAAAAGAAAGAGTTAAAACAGACTGAAATAGGAATAACCCAAAGAGAGACCAATACGAAAGAAAAAGTTATTGTATAACTAGTGTCAATATACAAAATTAATATTGGTGACATTAACAATGATGTTTTAATGTGATTGTAGACATTATGCTCTTAAAATCATTAATTTTGTTAAAATTAATTATTATTTTTAAGCAAAATAAGTTTTGTGGAAACATTTTGGACCAATAGCAATTATGCAGTCATATTTGCATGACTGAATGTTGATTGTTTCTGCTAGCACTTATGAATGAGCCAAAAGAGCAAGACATAATGCCCACTCAGGTGGGCTTGGCTGCATGAGCATCTTTCAGTCTAGAACTGAGGGTTTCTGCATCAATATTTCTCAATTTTGTCATGATTCAGTTTGTATAGCAAATAGAATTTTTTAGTAATAATGAAAGCGAATTGCATGCAGGCATAAAAATTGGCCAATTTATCTTCACTTCTGCCTTCAAGACAAGTAAAAGAATAACTCAAGTTACTAGACTTGAAGAGAAAGTTAAGTCAAATCTGCCAATTTAATGTCCACTTGCAATGAATTATCATTCTTGCTTAAACATTGCCTGTTAGCCATATAAGATAGTTTATTGTAAAATTGACAAAGTTTGATGCAGAAACCCAGAGTTTTAGCCTGCAAGATACCCAACCACACCCATTTTGAGTGGGCGTTAAGGCTTAGTGAAGTTTTGAAATCATGCTTTTAGCTCTGTATCTCGTTCATTTTGCACAATTTCCTAGTGAATATTTTATTGCACTATAATCTGCACCTATGCCAAGCATTCCAGTAATTGTAGCAGCAATTGTATAGTTTATTTATGCATTAAAAATCAAAAACAAAATTTTCTTTTTTTGTCAAAAGGCTAGATTTACGATGATATAATGTTTCTGTAGCAAGAAAAGCAATTTTTGATGTAAAAAAGCATGAGTTTTAGCTGGTATAAAACACAACTCCACCCCATTGAGCTACAAAACCTATTTAACACCCACTCAGTCTCAGAGGCGAGGCTGAAATAGTAATTAACTATTCCTGAGATCACACAGAGCCATAGATCACTGAGATGTCAGGTCAATCTCTGTCAAGTGATAAGCAGCTGCAGATGATGTCTAAGATTGATTATAGTATAGTCAAATTAAGTCATTGGCATCATTGGCATGTTGTGCCGCACCAAGTTAAAATTTACACAAAGCATGCACTTAACTATACTCAATTACAATTTGGGCGTGGCATTTAAATGGCCATCTTAATTAAAGCCTACTCTGCTCAAACTAAATGCTTTTGGCTGCCCTGGAAGGATACATATATCATCTATCCCGGTCTCTCCTGTACAGTTACATATGCTATTGAAAGGTATGAAGAGGCAGTAGCACTATGCATCGTTATTTACTGAAGATTGAAATAATGAATAATGCTTTTAAATTATGTTGATGAGATAAATCAATTTTGATAAATGCAATGAATGGAGTAAATATGTGACACGAAAAGATTAAATGCAGTCAATGTTTAAATACAGTCAATGATTAAATACAGTCAATGATTAAATACAGTCAATGATTAGCACCAATATCACCATCATCAGTAGTAGTTGATTGGTACTCCCTCAAAACAGAAAAAACAGCTTCTACCTCATTACACTTTGGAACACGCTGCAGATTTTCAAGATGAAGTTCCTGACGGCAGTGTGGGCATGTCGCACTTTCTTCTAACCACCTCGTAATGCAATCATAGTAACATAACTTACAACAACAGACAAGAACAGCAACATTGTCTCCTACGTAATTCGTGCATATAAAGCAGTCAATATTGCTCTTCATGGACATTATCATAATTATTATTCAAAGACTCACATTGAGCTTTACCTTGTTGCAGTTGCATTGAAATTTTCTGGACCTCAAGAGGATCCTCATTTTTCCTGATGCGCTTAATTTGACTTTCCAACTCTCTTGCCAGTTGTACCTGTTTGTCTTCAATACGATCAAGCCGATTACTAGTTGGTGAATGAGCCCTTTACACGATTTTCCTTTTCCAGTAACAAATACCGTACGGTTGGTAAATTTCGTGGGGTATTAATTTTCGTTAATTTCGTGGTTAATTTTTATCCACGAAATTTTAACCCCTACCCACCCACACATAAAAACTAATTAACGGGCCATGCAGAGCTCTATCTACTATTTCCAAGCCAGTGGAGGAGGCAGAGTCTTTGTCTATTACTCCTTATTCCACTATAAGCCATGTATTGGAAGCTAGTGCTGTAGATCTAAGTGAAAAGAAGAGTGCTAACTGCCATCCACGAATATTTATACCCACGAATATTGGCTTCTAAGGACATTTAGGAGAAAACACGAAATTTTGGACCCTCGAATATTACCAACCGTACGGTATAGGGGATGGCATAAAATTTTCATCATCAGATTCATTTTCTCCTCCAAAGAGTAAAGTATAATCACTCTTTGTCACTGCTTTTATACGACGAGACCCTTTCCAAAAAGAAGGATCTAATATACAAATTATAGTACTAAAATAATGATAAATAATTTTAACATAATTTGTACCTTGTGTACAGGATTTGGATGGTATCTCGAAATTGTCGTTGTCAAGTAAGACAACTTCATTGTTTGAATAGCACTCAGCTGATAGTTTATCTGTGATGTAGTTCAAACTAGCTGAAGAGGCACTCAGAAATAGCGGATAATTAGAGGTCTTTCTGAGTTCTCCAGTTGTCTTGTTGCATTCATGTAGCTCAATGTTTTTCCGCCAACCAACACTCACTTCTTGACATGATGGCTCTGGAGCCTTTCTGAAACGCTTACTCTTTTTATGCGAAGTCGGCTGATTTACCAGTGGGTACGGGTACGAGAAAGGAAGAGCACTAGTGGCCACAATTCCTGTTGGCGTCGGCGGGAGAGCAGGAGGCTGTGAGCTGAACATACTCGGCCTGGCATTACCAACTCCTAATGTAGGTATTGGTTCCCCTTGAACCTTGTATACCTTTCTTTCTTCTAAGTGAAAATTCCCATTATCATCTGGTGTTTCCAGTTGTCCTTCCTCGTCAGTGAACGGAAGAATACTTCCGGGGGACAGTCCAAAAACTTTCCCTATCCATTTAGTCGTCACTTGGTGATACTTAAACTTCAACATCCTGTCCTTATATTGTAGGGTATAATTGTCATAGGTAGAGATGGGGTAATCCATTCTTAATTCTTCACAGTGATCAGAGCAAGTGTAAATGTGTGTTGCTTGCTTGGCTTACTGCACTGCACTATGACTTCACCACTGTAGTACTGAGCATGCGCAGCCACACCCACAACAAGAATGGAGGATGTTGACATGGCTTTAATGGAATACATGAGATGTCAAGGCAAGAGCTACAATGACATCAGTGAACGCCTTCAGACAGCCTATCCAAATAATCATGGATTTTCTGCTAGAAGTGTGAGGTGGTATTGTGTTTTACATGGAATTAGTAAAATGAGTGATTCTGAGGTCAATGACATCATTGGTGATGCTGTTCAAGAGGTTAGAGTGTGCAGTAGTACCCCTATTTATACATGCCTGACGCAGAGTGCATCATTACTAGCATTTGGGTAATTCAGTTAACTTTGTTTTTGGCCAGACTAGTTCTTGATAAGTTAACACAGCCAATAGTGGCAGTGCCAAGTCTGTGAAACCGTGGCAGGCACTTAGGACAAAAAGGGCACTATAGTGTAGAAAAGACTCAGTCAAGGAGCAGCCATTATATTAAAAGTACTGGTGCTTTAATTAGAATTTGAGAACCACCAGTGACAGTGAGTGATCCCAACCTCTGGTGAGAATCGACAAGATATACTAAAATTTAAATTGTTGGAATTACCCATGGGTCTAATTGCAAAATTAAGTCCACAAAACTAGATTTTTAGGCAAGTTTGTGAAATTTATATCCCTCGAAAAATTGGACATGTATCGTATTTTAGTTGAATACATTACTGTTTGTGATAGGTTGGATGTATATATGGAAGGCGAATGATGAAAGGTTATTTGGAATCCAAATCAATATTAGTAGGAGAATCAAAAGTGTCTATATCACTACAGCGTGTGCCTCCTAACCACTATGCTAGTCGCCGATCTAGAACAATGGATAGGACAAATCCTAGGCCGTACTTTGCATGATGTTTTGGACATAAACTTCATTTAGATCAAAACGAAAAATTAATCAATTATGACGTAACACATGTTATTTCTGTCGATGGATATTCTCGAAAAATTGTTACCCATATCACTTCAGCTGTTAAAAATAATTTATTTATGACAGAGTTTGGAGGTATGATTTATATATTAAAGTGCATTCATGATTTTAGTGTGACTCTGGAGGTATGATTTATATATTAAAGTGCATTCATGATTTTAGTGTGACTCTAGGTCTGCTGTGCTCACATATGGGTTATGGGATCAACTTCGCATTGATTGTGGTACTGAGTTCTATTTAACTATTTATATTCAGGCAAATCTTTGGAGCATTTATGGACCACCCAATATACGTCCATTTTGTCAGACTACTTCAACACAAGTATGTTTGTGGTTGTTGCATAATTAATTAATTTTTAAATTAGAATTTGTGTTGAAAGAATATGGCCTCACATTAACTCCAGAGTGAACTATCCTATTAAGAGAATTCTTCTCTGGATGGAGCAACATGAACACATTGATATGACTTGTGAGGTTACAAAATTCTGTGTCCTTCGTCACAATTTGTGTATTAGCTGTTGGTGTGAACAGATTTGTTGCTGCATGAAATTCTCATTATATATCAGGTATGGCATTATATGGTAAGCTATAAGGGCATGGTGAATTACCATAGACAAAAATTTTGCTGTGTATAACTTTTTGTTGAATGATCCATTTGTAAATTTTTGTAAATGAAAAATAAATTTGAATTTTGTAACAAACTTTGTAGTAAATTTCCTGTACATACATGTATTGCAAATTTTAAACTCTCAAACATTTTAAATGTCAAAATTGCATGCAAAAATTACTCTGTTTATAGTATTGCCAACAATTTCTAAGATTTTTGACCATTATATTGTCAATTCATTATGACATTTTACCTCAAACACTGTTATTGAGAATCTTCTGTATTGCTATTTCATTTATGTAAGACATAATGCTTCTCAATTTTAAACTAGGTAAAGGTGTTCCCAATAACCTAGCAGTCTCAAACAACCAGACAACTCCTGTTAGTGCTTCTTCAGTACCTAGTGTAGAAGCTGCAGTTGATAACTATCATGCACATCAGGGACATTTGACTATAGCTAGTCAATTTGGAAGTGATCCTTTAAGAGAGAGACAAGACTTGATTTTATTGAGAGAGCAGCAGTTTTTGCAAAGATACTGCTTTGAAGATATTTTCACTAACTCAATATCAGGAGATCACTCACAGCTGGTCAATTCAATATGCTTTTTTATTGACATTACAATCAGGTTTTCTAATTTAGTGTGATGTGTGTGTCATTTATGCATTGATTTAGTTCATAATTATAATGTTACTGAATTTGACCACTTATAGCTAATGCCTTACTTTAAATATAATCTTGCTAAAAAATTACATGTCTAAAATGCTGCCAATTCAAACAGTTGGCAGTGGTGAAAAGCATGCAATCATTTCTGAAAAATTGTTCCTGAGTGAGATCTAACACCCACTTCTGGGCATGGCTAAATAAATACCGTATGGAAGGAAATTTTGGAGGTAGTTAAATTTGGCGTCTTGATAGCCATTCGCCAAAATAAAAATTCACCATTTTGAGCCATTATGCGCATGCTCAATAGCATATGGCCACAAATTCGCCAAATTAAAATTTGCCAATCATCCAAAATTTAGCAATTCGCCAAAATTTAGTCCCTCCAAAATTTCCTTCTATACGGTATTTGTGACAAGGAAATTTGCTGCTCAATTAATTTCTAGATATTGCAAAAACAGTTTATTTTAGTCATAATCAATATGAACTAGGATAATGTTTACAATGAATTAAAACATCATTGTTAATATAAAAAGAGACACCATATTGTATATTGAGTGATTGACCACTTTCGATATAATCTTTTTTATTGGGTCTCTGAACCATTCTTTAATCGAGGGTTTTGAACTTTATGAAACATGTTACAAACTCCATTTACACCTGCATAAAAGATGTTTCATGATACAAGTTTAATGGTGCCTTGGTACGAAATAGCCTTTAATTCTTTACTTACCTTTGTGTTGGCTCTCTGGTCCCTCTTCTTATCCTCAGGCTACTCCACTAACTGCAGTGTTATTCGTCTCTATATCATGCACTATGTCATAATAGTGTTGTCAATAATTACAATGATAATAATAATTAAGGGGGTCGAACCCTCATCAAACTGTCATACACCTTTTTCCAAAGGTTATGAGCTTCCACCAGACATCAGTGGATGTTGGATGGATTCAACTTCCCTCCCCCTTTGCTTGTTTTTTACAGGCACTCCCTTTTGATTTATTAAATAATACTTGTTTCAAGTTGTGGCATTAATTTTTGTAAGTTGTGACCATTGATAGTCAGGGCCGAAACAAAGATGATGAACTCAGTAGAGTCATAGTATCTATGGTCTATGGTCAAAATTCTTAATGCTTAAACATTTAATAACAAGTCTAATAACTTATTATAGTTATAATACATCTAAAATATGAATTGTGTTCGTTTTGTTTGCTGCCATTTTAAAGTGGACACGCCTTCAAAAACTAGATAATCTATAGGCGGGGCAATGAAGATAATTGCATTTTTTTGAATTCTACTTTTCTCCTTCTTAAGTTCTGGAATTCCACTTCTTAGTAGAGTGAGCTTTTTACTTTAAAAATTCATTATTAACAAAGTGACTTTTAGAAAAGTGATTGCCTTGACTCATTTCACGCTACTTTTTACTGTACAAATTTGAATTGGCCTGTTTATTATCTTGGTTGTGACTGATCAGACTGAGTTCTTATTATTTGCATGTAGTATTGACTTCTTCCTTTCTTTCTCAGTTTTTGCCAAAAGTGACTGATCAGACTTATTATTTGAGTTTGATTTAAAATGATGCTCAATGTCCTCACATCTGATTTTTTGTTCTTTTCCATGTTTCATATTACTGTAGTTTAAAACACCAGATTGACTTATTATTTGAGGTTTTTCTTAATTATTTTTTTGTTTACTGACTTCTTACTATATGATTCAATTTTCTAAGACATAGTATAGTTTATATGAAAAGTGACCTATCACACAGTTCTGTTCCTATCTGTTAGGTTATTAAAAAGAAGGTTGCACGTACTACTCATTCTTTGGTATGTTTTTCTTTCGTCATTTTTACATTATACTTTAAAATACCAGAATTAGCTAACCAGACTGAGTTCTTATAATTTGAAGTTGATTATGATTATGATAATAGTTCTCACTATTTATAGTATCGTACTAGAAGTTACGGATCAGGTGGAGTTCTGATTATTGAAATTTGTTTCAAATTGCTTGTGTTAAACTGAGATTTTACTATTTTTCTTTTCTCTGTTTATAGTACTGTTTTACTAACATTTACTGGTCAAATTTACTATTTTACTATTTATCAAATGATAAATAGTAAATTTAACCATTGAATGTTAGTAAAACAGTACATGACCATATCTTCATTTAGCTTTAAAATATTTTGTGTACTAAATTTGTAGTATTGGTTTCTTCTTTTTCACTTTCATAGTATAACGTATTCCAGGAGTGACTGATCAGACTCAACTTTTTTTAAATGCTTTATGTAATACTTCTTACTATATGTTTCTTCAATTTCATTTGAGATTGATATTAAAGCATTGTGTATGTTTTTTTTTTTAGTTTTATGCCAGAAATGACTGTGACTCAGGTTTTACAGTTGTTTGGTTTCATAATGATGTTTATGCATTACAAGTCACTATTTTTTACTTCTTTTCTAAGTTTCATTGTATGTTTTAGATGGAAGTAGTGATGAAACTTAGTTTTGACATTAAAGTTTCGTTTCGAGGTAATGTTTCATTCACTACGTATTTTTCAGTATTTGTTCCTTCTTTTCTTAGTGTCACAATGTAGTTTAAAATAGCAGAAGTCACTCATCATACTTAGTTACTTTTTGAGGTTACATTAAACAACATTGTTCTTCAAAGTTCCTATTGTTTTTCTCAATTTCATTAAATAGCATAGCATGCATGAAGTGACGTACGAGACTGAGTTATTAACATTTAAAATTAGTTTTAAAATGTTTCATTTACTACTGTTTTCTCACTATCTCGTTTTTCTTTTGTCACTTTTAACGTAAAGTTTATCGGAAGTGACAAATCAGACTGAGTTAAATCACTCAAATTTGGTTATAAAATGATGATTCAGGTAACTCTTAATTTAAATGTATAGTTAAAGTACCAGAAGTCTCTAAATTACACTTACATTTATCATTTCATATTGGTATTAAAATATTTAATGTGCTACGTAATTGTCACAATTCATTCCTTGTTATTTTTTTTTGTTTCGTCGTTTGAAGCAAATGGTGAGACTGTGAGATAAAACAGATAGTGTGTCAGTGAGAGCAGGAAGATGGTGTGGCAATAATAACAGAGAGATCATGTGGACATGAGAGCACAGAGAGCAGGGAAGTCGTGTGGCTGTGATAGAAGAGAAATGGTGTTGCAGTGAGAGCAGAAAAAAGTAGGCAGTGAGAGAAGGGAGAGGGTGTGACAGTTAAAGGGCGCTGCGAGAGCAGGTAGATGGTGTCGCCGCCTAAGGAGGGAGATGGAGTGGCAGCGAGTGCAGAAAAATGGTCTTGGCACTGACAGCAGAAAGATGGTGTGCAGGGATATTGTGA